TTGCAGATTCTTGCAATTGTAACGCATATGTTTTGATTTGCTCTTTTTCCCCCCTGAAGCTTTTGTTCTTGGAGTGATGTCAGTATGTGACAACTTTTGTTCAAGAAAAGTGTGTAGCTGTCATGGTTTCAAAGAAAAGGCTGAAAGTGTAAAACCTCAGATGCTCAAACCCAAATAACACTAATCAATATGTGAAAAGCACCTTCAACTTTTCAATTATAGGTCAGCTCTGTGACCTGGTGGGCTGTTTTGAAGGTTTCGGGCTTGGCTGTGTTGTCATAATTGTGTAACCCTTTTAAATTGTGCCAGTAAAACTTGGTCATGACAAGTCACTACTGGACCGGTCTTATTTCCCTGGGACTTTTCTCCCTTTCTCCTACTGTGTCCTTCCTTGGATCACATTCTTTGCAGAAGGCATTTCCCATACCGTCGAAGCCATCTTTCGCAGAAGGCTGACGTTTATGAAAAAAGCCAACCTCGCCTTAAAAGTGCACAGGCAGCCTTCAGACACCTGAGGAAATGAGTGTTCAAATATCATAACATCAGATCTGAAACCAAACTTATGGCTTATCGAGCAGTCATGATCCCGCACATTCCCGTACAGTGTTATGAACAATGTACAGGAGACATCTCAAATCACTGGAGAAGTACCAGCAACGCTGCCTGTGGAATGTGTTTCAAATCCAGTGGGAAGACAGATGCACCAACACTAGTGTCCTCTTGCAAACAAACACCACTAACATTGAGGTGATGGTCATCTGACATCAACTTCGCTGGGCCATGTCTGACTCCAGACACCCAAAGCAAGTTTTGTTTTCCCAGGTCAGTCAAGGTGTACGCTCAAGAGGAGGGCACAGAAAGCACTTTAGGAATGTCCTCAAGGCCAGCGTACGGAAAATGAAACTTCAGTGTCAACTCGTGGGAGACTGTGGCCCAGGACCACCCCAAATGGAGGAAGAGTCTGCTGCAAAGATCTCGGTACTTTGAAATCTTACGACAACGACAGGAAATGGAAAAACAGGAGCAGCAGAAACAGTGTGTAACAAACTGAATCCAGAATCCTGGGCTACCCACCCCTCACAGAAACACATGCCCAAGTTGCAGCAGAGTCTGTCAATCACGGATCAGCCTCATCAGCCATCTTCAGACCCATAGATAAAAGCAGTCATGGAAGACTATCATCCTCAACTGCGAGGGATTGCCAATGATGGCCTTTTTTGTGTTTGTACAATAACTGATGCACTGGAGTGCTATCAAATTTTTCCCGTGGTTCTTTGACTTTCCAATTTGACAATTGCTAGTGGCCAATTTCTTTGTAAGATGAGCAGCAAAATGCATGTGAAATCTCTTTGAATTGGAGCAGCTGTCTGTGCCGAATAGACTCCGAAAAACTTGTCATCTTGTATAATTTCAGAATGATCTAAGTGCTTTGAAAGATTATAAAATACTGGGAAATGAAATCCTACATTTGACATTATTTAAAAGCAGCTTTTCAATGGAAGTTGTGAGAGGGGGGCCACAGGTATATCAGACTAGGAAAAGAACATCTGCTTTAAAATACATAATCTTAGTACAGGACTAATTTATTCAAGTAACACAAATTTGACAACATTTGGCAATTGTATGGAATACAGCAACCGAATGACAGAACAACCTATAAGCAATCTATAAACAATGGCTAGAGTTCCAGTTTTAGATTTGATATCTATGATAAAGCATCGTCAGTAGCCTGGTGTGGGTCTTCAGTGCAACCAGTAAAATGATAAATAGGGCACTCCTCCATAATATGTGCTATAGTTTGGAATTTGCCGCACTCACACGTGGGGTCTTTAATAAAATTCCATTTATGTAGTAGGTAGTTGCATCTATCTTGTCGTGTATGAACCCTGTTCAGTGTTGTCCAGCTTGGTAAAGCAGAGCCAGGGATTTAGATGTGGGGTCTGTGATAAGTAATTTGTTAAATTTATGTCAATTTTGTTCTATTGCTGGGTCCATTTTTTCTTGATGTTAAAATTTTCGTCATTCAGCTCTTTTCCTGCCTTTGAAATGGCCTCGTTGACTTGCAGGGGGATCATTAAGTTCCTCAAAAATTGTTAGCAGATTGAATGTAAGCAGTTTTTTGTAGACTTTTAAAGTAGCCTGTTTACATCAAAGATCAGGAGGAAGGATATGCGATAGAGCAGACAACCAGGGAACAGGAGTGGATCTGCAAGTACCTGTTTCATTCAGTTGAGAGTCATTTGGGCTCATATGAGTGCTCCTGCCCCGCTGTGTGCATGGCGGCTGCCACTCTGGCCAGATCCAGCCACTCATGGATCCATGCCACATGTAGTGCAGGTCCCAGACCAGCTGGAGCAGCTGCCTGATCAGGTATGTTGGGGAAGGGGAAGTGTGGAAGGGGGATCCATGGACCCAGTCCAGACAAGCCCCACACTACTTATCCAGCCAGTGAGGCCAGATGAGTTTGGCACTCCTGGTGTATGGTATCAGACTAATTTGGATGTAGTAAAATTAATAAGGGAGCCAATATCAGTGCCGTGCATTTTGAGAATTTATTTTCAGGTCACATTAGATTGCTCATCAATAATGAAAGCTGGACTCTATAGTCTAGTGGTTGGTATAGTGAAAATAAAAATAACTTATAGAAATGTCCTAATCTAATTTTGCGGGAAATGAATTGGTCATGCTCAATCTAACAATAATCAATCAAACTTATGAATTCCAAAGTCTTTGATTTATGCAGTCTAGTTCACGTACCATGCTATGGATTTTTACAGGTACGGTTATGAAAATAGAAAGCATTTGTTATGCTGAAAGCAGTGAGCTAGCATAGTGTAAAAATGTTAGACTACTTCAACTGTCTAGGCTAAGAGCTCACAAGACTTTTCTCTTGCAGTACATAGAGAACTATATAAAGGTACCCATTTAACTCTGACAGGGCAGAATCTAGGGTAGCCAACTGTCTGTAAATTTGTGGGTGGTCAGTGAAAGAGGCTAAAAATATATATCCATAAAGTTCATTAAGAAAAAAAGAGGCCTCAGTAAAACAAAAAACTGAGCACCTCAGAGCTTAATTGAAGCTCTGTCCCTGACCAAGGCTGGATGTTGAAGGCTAGAGAGCAGAACAGTGCCACCTGGTGTCTGAGTGGGAGTACAGCACCCTGCAGGGAGCATGGTATCAGAGGGGCCCCACGGCTTGCTCGGAATGGGCGGGGCAACGAAAACCGCAGTTTTTAAATATTGTACCATTTTTGCCTCCTGCCACCGATTGGCAGAGGGCATCTGGCAGCCCCACTTCTTGTTGCTGAGTGGCCAAAAGGCAGAAATGGTGCCACATTTAAAACCATGGTTTTTGCCTCCCTGCCTAGTCAGGAGCAAGCAATGGGGCCCCTTCACCAATCAATGGCAGCGGGGGTGGGGAGCACACAGGAACTTGCAAGATTAAAGGCACTGCCATGTAGCCCCCTTCTGTTGCAAATTCAGTAGGTCCCTAAGGATGAAGGAACAGATGTCTTGCACTTTTATAGTTTATGGTGTAGTATTATAGCTGGTAAAAGTCTGTAGGATAGGTCACATAAATCTAATGAGAAATATAGGGTCCATCCATTTATCAGTGATCATTGCACGTACGTTCCTTGTTTTTATAGGTGTTTCAGTCCTTGCCATAACATTCAAGAGAGTTTTCTCTGATTCACTTAACCAGATAATCTGTGGCTTTGAGATCAGTTAGAATGTCTCAGAGAAGTAAAGTGACTAAAAATGGTCTGAAGCAATTAAGCAGAGTAGATTGGAGTTGCTCAATTTACTCGTCCCTTTCCATGTTGGATACTTGTAATTTTTAGATCAAGAGCGACAAAGGGAAAAATACCACTACGATAGAATCAGTAGATATAATTGCATGTGGTGTCACCCTGTAGTGTTGTCAAAGCTTTGGATTTGGAGCTCTTTGGAAGTACTTAAACTCCCATTATTACATGTACTTTGTGTTACAGCAGCTCTTTTTAGAGGCGATTCTACATGCTGAATAGCTCCTGAGACCACTAAAATTATTTATTTTTTGTAGAATCAATAACTTCAGTCAAATTGCTTCCACTCCTTCTAAAGACTAAAGAACTAGGATTTTTCTGAAATTATTTTGGCTCTTTTTTTTAAAGATTTAATTATTAGATTCTAAAGGTCTTGTGTGACTGAAGGTAGTATCAGGAACTAGTTTAGGAAACAGAGCTGCACTGTCATTGAGTGGCTTTGCAACCTAGGGCAATGTCACTTTGTTCTGGTTTTTCTAACTGGGGATGTGTTTAATTAACCTCTTAGTAGAGCCTTAGTAGAGGAGGCTGAGAAATGCTGGGTAGGAGCCAAGTATTTCCATGAGATTTTGCTTAGAAAAAATTATAAAAGGTAAATCAAGATGACCTTTTTTCTTCTTACCTGATAAAATATATTTCTGAAAGAAAAATGTCTGTGGTATGATATTATGTTGTGCGTAGAATATTTAAAAAGAATTATGTTTGGAATGAGTTACCACTCGAAACTTTACACAATGAATCACTGATGTAAGTAAACTCTGTATTAATCACCTAGAGGATATCTGATGAATTGGAAAAAAAAAAATAAAACCTTAGACAAATTGAGTAGAAGGGCTGAAGTTTTTTAACTGGAAATAGATGATTTATATGCCGAGGAGGGTGGGAAGAGAGAAACGTGTGCAGGATTCATGGGAGAATTACTAATTTTAGAATTAAAGACAAAATGATGCATTGGCTTTAAATTACTGAACTGGGAGATACTCTCATCGTCCTAAAAGATTTAATAAGCAAATGGTACTTGAACCAAAAAGCCATTGTAAGAGGTCATATTTTGCATATGTATTTGCTCTCATTATACATCTGCATTACACAGCTCCTTTTTTCTGATTATTGTCAAAAGTATTTGTATAGTGAAGTGAGTTTGATATTTGTGTGTAAACTTATGTATAGTGATTTTTTTTTCTTATTCAACAGGCCATCAGCTGTAAAGGTCAGCACAGTATCTCTTACACATTATCCAGAAACCAGACGGTTGTAGTAGAGTATACACATGATAAAGATACAGATATGTTTCAGGTAAGACCTTTTTTTTCTTTGGTTTTGAGCTGAGCCAGTATCTGTTAAACAAAGCTGGTGGGTATTTAATTCCTTAGAAAATACTATAGTAGAATGTGGAAATGGCACTGAAATGAAGCACCTGATGCATTTGGTTAAATGCAGAAGCCTAGTAGAGAGGCCTTGCAATAGCACTGGAGTGATTAAGGAGCAGGGCACAGAAAGGAATGAAGGGGAGAAAACAGAGAGCGGCCCAGGATGGTGGGGAAAGGGAGGGGAATGGAACAGGGAGCAGGAGATGGGAGCTGTGCACCGACAAAGACATGGGTACTGTGCAAAAACAGTATGTGGTCACGATTTACGTTGAATCGCAGAGCCTGCACACAAGACAACTGCGTTGAGATTTTACAAACAACTTTAATTCTGACATTTCTTAACTTTTGAGCATTTGACTTTGCAGACAGGAGTGTTTTTATAATGTAGGTTATTTTTTAATCTAATGCTGGTATACACAATGAATCGTAGGAAGGGAAATCTTGTATATAGTAAAGGTCATGCGCTCAGAAGACCAACTTAGTAGTCTTTTCTTGTCAAGGCTGCACGTTCATGTATCAGTGGTATCTCTAATTAAAGCATCTTTGAATTAATGCATCCCTTCAGTTCAGCCTGTACATTGAAAACTTCAACATTTCTGTTATTTCTTTTCATGTTCTTTTGCCAACAGCGAACATGACTGCCCAAATGATAATATCCTCTGCTCTGCTTTAGTTGCTTTTCTTCCCCCATGTGTGAACAAGTCTCCCAGTGGGACCTAGTGGTGCGTGAATTCTTATTATGTCCATTTGATGATTGATGGAAGTGTGATTTTTCTTCTGTGCTATAGTCTTGCTTCTTTTGTCATAGCAAACAAACATCATGAATCTTGAGTTGATGAGAATGGATGAATGGCCTTTTCTAAGATGACTAATGAAACGGAAATTTAACTTGGATACTTAGTGCCAGTTTTTTCATCTAGAAACCAAGCTATAGGTTAGCATGTAGTATTTACGTTCCAGTCTTTTAAGTGTTTACTTTGCATTTCCACGGTAAACCTTTTGCAAACAAAACTGGATTTTCTCAATAGCTCGATAACAGATCAGTGGTGCTCAAACTTTTTAGACTTAAGGCTCTCCTTGTTAAGGATACTCAAGGTATCCTTTGAAATATGGCAGCTTGTAGCTTTTGCTTCATCTTTGACTACAGAAAAATAATAGAACAGTTCTTCTGCAAAGAACTCAGGCCACAACAGAGCAGAATATTTATATTTTCCTCTTTGAAATCTCTGCATTTATCTTGTGAATCTTGGGTAGGTGTTTGCATGCCTAGCGGTGTTAATATTGTGCAACACCTTTAAAAACCTCTGTCTTGTGTATGCCAGCCAGATCCCATGCATGGGGCCATGATATTTGTTCTCTGGGGCTTGGAGATTTGCTGAAGGAAAATTGTGGCAGCATTAGTTGCAACTGCTGCACCACCTCCAAATTTCTGGACCCTTGGGAGGCCCTGTAGGCTGGATCACAAGGCTACACAGGCCAGGGGTTGAGCACCCCAGACTTAGATCACTAGAGCCTCTCTGAATCTGTCCAGAGCCAAGAGGGAACAAAGGTGTCCTCAATTCTTGAAACAATTCTTGAAATCCAAAAAATGAGAAAGATAAGATGGTCCAGTTGTTTGTGTGCTAGCTTGAGAACTCGTGCCAAGTCCTTGCTCAGCTACAGTCTCCTCTGTGACCTTGGGCAAATTAATCTCTCAGTGGCTCAGTTACCCACTTGGGGTAACTGAGCCACTGAGAGGGTAACAGCATTGTGCTATTGTAGAGATAAATACACTAAAGACTCTGAGTGCTCAGATATAATAGTAATGAGCACCAGCTAAGTACTGTATTTTCTTGCATATAACGCAAAATCACCAGAGGAAAACTGGGATGTGCATTATATGCACAGAAAAGGGTTCCCCACAGGTCTGGAGATTTTGGGAGACAGAACAGTGGCAGCATAAATTGCCACGGCTCTGGGAGTCACAGCAATAAACACTACCGTGGCTCCACCTCCATCCTCCCCGCTGTCAAATATCTGGGTCCATAAGGAAACTACCCTCCACTACCACATGCTAGGTTGGGACAGTGTAGGGGGTTGGTCCATGGCTGGACTCAGTGCACCAGGTCTAACTCTGCACATAACCCCAAAGCCAGCATGTGATCCTGGACTTGGTGCACAGTCCTGGAGCTAGTGTGCAGGGTTGGACCTAACACAGCCCTGGTGTTGGTGTGCTGGACTGGGCCCCGCCACGTGGCCCAGCACCAGTGTGCCAGATTGGCCCTCAGCACCAACGTGTTGGGTCAGATTCCACTGCCCCACTGCCAGCATGCCAGATCAGGCCCTGCCACACACTGTCCTGAATCCTGGCATGCAGGTCTGCAAAGAGGGAGATCAAGGGTAGACTTCTGCTCTTATTTCCTCACTACCGTAATGTGTCATCTTATGTATGAAGAGTCTTGAGAAGCTGAATTTGGTAAGCTGGAACTTACTGCCCTTGCAGGAGAAGGGAGATCAGTCAAAGGTCCATGAAGAAATCTGTCCTCTCTCCAGCCATCCCAGGAGCTAGAATGAGAATTGATGCAGTTGGACTTCTGAAAGGAAACATGAGGGGTCCTCGTATTCTGCACTGCTGCTGATTTGTGCTGCAGAGACAAACTTGAAATTCCTTAATAGCATAAATGCAGAAACAGGGCTCTTGTGTTTATTGTTGGTAAACCTGGAGGCCAGGAGAGCCAAGGCAGATAGGGAGCAAACAGGGAGCTGGGGTGGCGGGTCGAGGAGGCTTTTCCTTACTGCCCCAACAAAGTTGGAAAAGTAGTAAGAGCAATACTCAGATTTCAGATTTACTACATAGGTGACTTTGAATGGGTTTTGCCGTCCATGATAGAGCAAAAAATACTTGGAACTCTGCCAAGGAATCGTCTTGCTTGCTGGAGCCTTGAAACTTATTTATTAATTAATTAACTTTTGGTGACTATGTCTGTCTTATGACACAGATAGGCTATGAGCATTCCTTACCTGATCTTGGTAAAGCCATTTGATTGGAAACCTTCCATAGCTGTGGTCCGAAGTGTCTGCTTTGCCCTGCTTTATAGAATTTAGGAGTATACACTGGAAAATAGTGGTACACCGACAAAGATTTTGGGGGCCTACCGATAGCCAATTTTTAAGGAGACATGTTGGCCGATACAGATCCGATTTCTGATATAGCTGCGTGCAACTAGTAAGTCTGTTGTGGTGGAAGGTGAGGGAGAGGGAAGGGGTGGGTGGGGGGAACAGATCAACACCCCCTGCAGTGAGGGAGGGGGCAGGGACAGGTGCTGCCCAGCTGGGAGAGTGGGCGGGGATGGGGCCGATTCAGTGGTCGCCAAATCTCCAAATCAGATTTAGCCAAATCGATTCGGCACACTGATTCGAATCACTAAATAGAACACTGTCCCCCGAATCAGCTGAATCCAAATCCGAAGCAAATACTAGTCACTTCACACAGGCCTAATT